TTTTTTTTTTTTTTTTCAGTTTTGTGCTCACAGTTATGTATTTGGCAAAGCCGCTTTGAAGTGAGATGAAAAGACATGCACATTGAATGATTAAAAGATCAAGTCGGAGCAACCCTGCCATGCGGTAAGTCTGACTGACAGATCAAAGCGCAACTGAGTATCTTTGAATTGCCAAAAAATTTCAAAAAATAATGAAGATTTGGTCGCAAAAAAAAAAAACTAATGATTTTAAAGGCTTTACATCAAGTCAGCAACTCCTTCGGGACCGCACTTGCTCAATGATGCCACTGCATGTCTGTGCATTTCCTTCCATGACTCGGCCTGAATTATTCATCATCATGTAGGGCGTTGCCTACTGAACAACAGTTGTAGTAAATACTCAGTTCCAAATCATATCTATTGATCATTATTCCAACAAATACTTACTTCATTTTTAAAAATCGTCCAATCAGTTAAAGCACTTTCCAGCCTATCTTCCTCTGTGGCCATTTCAACCATCATATTGACACGTTGTTGCCGCAATTCGGTAATATGAAAATAATTTTTTTATTGCACGTATTTCAAAGACCAACCGCAGTTATAAGACTCCTTGCCACGCAAAAAAAAAAAAAAATTAGTCGTTTTATCTTTTCAAAAGCTGATGGAATTTCAGTGTCTTTGCTCTTTCAGCGTATTCATCTGGCGGCACCGCATGCGGACGTTTCAGCGCCTCTAATCCTCTTCACCAAATAATAGGCTTTTACAGCAACTTCAGCGGCGCAAAACATGAAGATTTTCGAAACTGAATGCTCCCACTGCTAATACCAAATTCATTACAGCAGGAAAGCACAAAATTTGCGAAGCTCTCGTCATTCAGTTTACTAGAAAGGATACCCAGACAAAGAGAGTCGGGAATTGCTTTGTTGCTCAAAAACGGCAATAAGAAAGGCTTGAAAATTAGTCGCCGGATCTATCAATACTCCCACAGTCTGCTCACGAAGATTACTACCAATCAACTAACAAGCAACAACCGAAGAAGCAAGTTAGATTCAGAAATAATTACAACACATTGGACCACATTTTTGTTTTAAATTGCTGCTGGAGTGCGCAAGGGAATATCAGTCTTCTCTCTGTGTCTTATTCATTGATTATGAAAAAAAAGAAAAAAAAAACAGTTGACAGCCTAGAGCTGAATGTTGTGATAAGACCACCTGTAGTGGAAGGACTGATGGGAACTATGTGGAAATTAAAGAAGCGAACGTAGGATGCTCGATGCTTAGTCCATACAATGTACGAAAGTGGACAGAAAGTAAATAGATGCCACAGTCACCAGCTGGGCTTAGAACAAGGCATGCAGTTAGCCAATATAATCGAGTAATATGCACTGTCCTGCTGCCAGAACAAAAAAAAAAAAGAATAACGAAACCCGGAGTCTCCGACAGCCCTGTCTAAACTTATTAAAAACATACAGTTTTTGACAGCCGCTCATAGCATCGTGTCAGTTCTTCATTTTGATTTTTCAAAGACACGTTCTCCGTCCGTACATTCTCCACCAGCGCCAGCCGCGCCATCATCTCACATTGCTCCGCAGTTCTACGCATATTAGACTGTAAATTTGAACAATATTCCACAAGTAATTTTTTGTGAAATAGTACAGGCAGGGTCAATCAAGCATTCCGCTTCGTTACTGATGCGCTTACTAAAAAAAGAATGGCTGTGCTTCAGAATATCATTACTGCTAATGCAGAAAAGGCATGTAGAAGAAAAGTGCGGAAAACCGTACTCAGAAAATTACTCAGAAGTAGGAAAAGAGCGGGAGAAGGAAGATTTTTCTGTTGAAAGTGCATAAATACAAACATGTCGCAGTGGAGAAACACCGTTGTTGTGCAACAGGTCGAAGGTTCGACTCATCCGATTGAACCTTCGATCTACTGCACAAAAACGAGTCCCTTTATGACTGGTTTCAGTGCAAATTGGTGCTGGCATATATCAGGGAGTCAAATCCGCCATCAGTCTGCTTATAAGCAACCCTCAGAAGAGAAGCCACCGAGAGCCTTGTCAACGGATGGTTGCTACTGGCATTTACTACTACTCGGAGTACTTCTCGAGTGCCTCCGACCCATAGTGTGAGTGGAACAGCGAAAGGAGAAGGGGAGGGGTAAAGGGAGAGGGTTGACCTTGACTTTTGATAAGACATCAGCTAGTGCACGGAAGAAAGAACATGGAAAGGCAAAAAATACAGAAGATAATGAGATATTTAAAGCAGCGCCAAAGATTTCAAATGATGAAATCCTATCGCAATCATAAAGAAAAAGGCACGAACTTCAGCCTGATCTCGAGCTTCTTCCATTTCTTGTTCAAGCTTGAGACGTCGTTCTTTGTCAACAGCTCGTTGCGTTTGTAACTGCCTCAGTTGTAACTCGGTGTTCATCATCTTCTCTACAGCCTACACAAAAAAAAACAGTGAAAGAAATGATTAAAAGCTGCAAAAAATTCACGAAGGGGTGCGCGAGCAAAAACACGTAAAGAGCCTTCAAAGTATTATTGATTTAGAATTCACGTGTCTCACGCAAAAGTTCACGCAGTTAATCATGACTGGTTACCGCTACGGGAGAAAAATCAAATAGACATACCTGTTGTTTTTCACTTTGTAAATATTCGATTGTTTTACGTAAAGCAGCAATCGTTTCTGATCTGCTTTTATCATCAGCATCAGTATAGTCAGTATCGCTGCACGTCGGATCAGTCGGAGAACAACGATCCAAAAATGCCAGCCGTTCAGAGATCTGCGTAACAATAACTTTTTATTCCCTTACTTTCATGTCCTTACTTTTTACATAAGCACACATCATTTAAAATTAAAATTACAATAACTGTAGAGGAAATGATGGCCACTCGGCGTATCGAGAATGAGTGCGATATTACTTCCAGAAAACACACAGGAACTATTTATAGAAATGCATAAAGAAGTTACAGTGGTCACGGGAATGCAATAGAATGAATGGCAACAAAGTGCTATGAGATGAAAACCTCAACATTCCGTCCCCCATTTTCGTGGGTGCTCCTAGGAAAGAAACATTCTCACCGTATTAATAAATTTAACATCTGCTTTTATTTGAATTTTGCTTGCATACAACCACTTACTTTGGCAAACCCTTCACTCATAATCTCGAGTTCCTGTTTTTGCTTTTCAATAACTAAATTCGCCATACACAGCTCCTCCTCAACTCCGCTTTTCTCAATGAGCAGCAACGCCTGAAAATAACCTCAGTACTCTACGTCCCATACTTTTTTTACTGCCAGCACTCCGAGTTGCAGCGACTCGCCGCACAGAACAGCTGTCGCATCATGGCTCTCCCACTCTTCCTATCACCACAGTTGCGCACCATGTGCATCCCCCATTCCCTAGTCAAGTTCTCATGACCATTCACATTAAGCACGAACCTCACCTCACATGCACATTTGTCTAAGATATTCGGTACGACAGCTGCAAACTTTCATACCAGAGAAATAACAGCAACCCGTCTGAGGAAAGCTTTCTGTGTTCACTGCTAGTAAGACATGCGTTCACTTCGCCGGTAAACCGTCGATTTTACATATCAGGAGTGAGATCAGGATCGCGACTTCCAATGAAATATTGTGGATGTATGGGCATGCCATATATGCATTAATATCTGCATTAGCCCGACCCGCCTATGCCTGACCAAAAAAAACGAAGAATGCTTGAATTCCCTTGGACCGTCCGATTTTGGTTTGACTTTCTACGGCCCTTCTATGCTCCTCATAAGCATTAAAGCAGCCAAACTCTCCGTCACATGTGTGGCGCATATGACGCCACTGCTGTAAAGCGATACGTGCAAAAACATCCCCCTAACATCACTAAGACGACCACTCGGATGATTTTGGTATTTTCAGCAAATTCAAAAAATCAAAAAAAAAAAAGATTGAAAGCTCACACCCCAATAACTTATTAAATAATTTTGCTGGCTTTGCATGAATTGATTCTATCGATGGGTGCGGTTGCTTGTGAACGAAAGCACGTGTACATTCCATAATAAGAACATGAGAACGAGAAAATTTACGTACAACTTGTGACGCGCAGCTTTGTTCGATATCTTTACATTTCTGCTCCAGTTCCACAACGCTATTTTTCATATTTACAAATTCGTCCTCCTTCAGAAGCATTTCCTGCTCGAGTTCCTTGACTTTTCCACTGAGTCTAATGCCTTGATCCTCCTCCTTTGTAAAAAAAAGAAAAATCAACACTTATTTAAGTCAACAATTTAACCATCTATTAAATGCGCAAATAGTTTCTTTCCTATCTCTTATTCGTTAACTGCTAATCAATTATTCACTTAACAGTTATCACTCATTCACTGATTACTACCCACTTATCCAGCTCACACTCAAAATCCACTCATTTCTCAATGCAAACATTTTCAAGCTAATCCCTTATTTGAAGAAAAAAGTACACAATTAAACTGCGCGAACCACCAGAAACATCTGTCAGTAAATGGACTTATTACAGTAAATTTCAAATTGGCTTCACATACTATCTCTTTTTCGGCAAGTATATCCGCTTTGCTCGCTTCCAGCTCTTCAACACGAGACTCCATTTTCGCCCTCAACATATTTTCATTGCTCAGACGCTCCTCCAGGCAATGCAGCTCGGTTTGCATGGCCATTTTATGCCGCGCCATAATGTTGTCTTGCTCACGCGCCTGCTGCTTCACCGCTCCAATCTGCGCTTGTTGACTCTCCACTTTCATCAGACTAAACGACTTTCCATCAGCTTCCCAAACCAAAAATCATAGCTCATTCGCTGATCCACCGAAATGAGAAGGGGAGGGACTCAACTGCACACTGCCGTTACGTAGGCATTGGGCAAAAAAAAACTTTACACACGCACCGGGGACAGTAGAGCTAAGCCAGAACAAAACTTGACAGTAGTAAAATTTAACAATGAAAAATGGCATTCCAAAAATGAGTGTTCCGCAAAAATAACACGATAAGACTAGGAATAATAAATCAGAGATGATATACCTCTCTGCGTATTGCTCCCTTACCAAATCCAGCACTGTTCGTAAACTGTTCTGTTCCGCAACAAGACTCTGCAAAAATCACCCTGTTTCGAGAACGGCAGTAACACATGCCTGTTGGCAGTTATATACTTGTAACATAGGCAATAATCACTGGAGTGGCTGCTCAAACCACAAAAGCATAGAGATTTTTCATTATTTGCGTCATGGGTTGTTCGATTCACACAGAACACATTTTCAGTGGTCCAAATCAGCTCAAAAACCTTGGACGCCTTTCTAGAGATAAATCATATGACGGTGAATTTACATCTCTTATGCAAATCAAAGTCGAAATCGGAGTCTGATCTACTGCTTCTGAAAGAGCCAGCGAGTTGCCTATTTCAGACTGCAAACGCTGCATAGGCTCAAAACAAAAAACAACTTACAGCTACTAGGTTCTTCGAGGATTCTTCTAGATTATTGCTAAATTTTCTGAAGTCCTCAAGTTCCTGCTCACGTACGGCCAGATTTTTGTCGCTCTCTGTAAATTCGTTGGACAGTTCAGGAGAAAGTGTAATGCATGCAAGCCGATAAATGAACAAGCAGTAGAGAGCACAACGGATACGGAAATACCAGAAAAACGATGAGCAGACCTTCAAGTTTTTTCATCAATTCCTTCAACTGATTCTCCAAATAGCTGTTACGATTGCGAATCTGCTGGATTTCTCCGATACAACCACCATCCGTAACATCTAGGAATGGTCAACCGATAAATAACAGCACTAATAACGGGACATTTGAAGATACTAATCTAGCGAAATAACCAAATCCAACGTGACGATACCAGAAACGAGGTGAACACAGTAAATATAAAACCATATTTGTGTTATACTGTGCTTAAACACCATTTATTCCGCCGACAGTCAGGTGCCTCGATCGGAAATTTGCACAAAAAAAGTTGTTTTGTATTATTTTTCGCATTTCCAAGTGTTAAAGAAATATAAAAAAAAGAGTTATAGGAAATGAGAAATCATAAAAAAATTTTGTACTAAAAATTGCTGTTTTTATTCGCTGTTCATCTTAAATTCGTTGAAATTGTTATTACAACCTGCAGATAAATTTGTCGAATTCAGCTGACTGATCAGGTTTTCATATTTTTCTTGCAGTTCAATCACTTCCTTTTCTTTCCGACTCAGTAGCTCCTCCGCTGATTTCTTCTCTGCTACAGCCAGTTCGCGCTCCGTTTTTAAACCGCTCATCGTCATCTGACCATAAAGCATTAATGGCAACATTATATCGAGAGGATCGGGTTATTGCCGATGTGAAAAAAGAAAAAAAAAACCTCCCCAACCTTGAAATCCGAACCAATTTGTCGATGCTGCTCTGAAATCTCGCAAACATACTTCTTCAACGACTCGTTTTCATTTTTAGCAAGAATCAACTGGTCCTCCAGATTCTTCACTTTTTCTTCATTACTGAATTCTAACCGTTTCTGTAAATACTTTTGATCTCAGAATGAAAAAAATTCCACAAAATCAAAGGTGCACTATGAAGGGCTCAGGAAGGCACTATTAACTCCTCCTGAATTAAGCGTCGCAGCATGAAGAACCAAGTAACACAGAACACATACACGATTATAGAGGTGTTAGATGCAGTGGATAAACAATGCGGCGATACAGATGAAAAATTGCAAAAAAAAAGCCTAATTCCGAAAAAAGCTAATCTCACGACAGTCAAAATAACATAAAATGACGTCTAAATTAGTTTTTCACCATATATTTTGCAATTTTCAAGCAGTCTGCTGTAAATGATAGTTTTTGAAGAGAAAACAGGTTTATTTCCGCTACTGATTTCATCGTGCATAAGGTTTCACTTGTCCCAGTTGTCTGTGGCCAAAAAATTGGCATTGATTTGCGCCCACTGTTTACGTAGCTATGCTTTTTGACGTGATCATTTTAACTGATCAGCACTAAAATCATTTTCGTATTGATCCTATAGCAGCTCTACTCAGTACACCACAGATCAAAATGCGTTAGGCCTTAGAAACGACGGAGTACGCAGGCAAGTAAATCCGTAATTTTTCAAAGCAGGCACACATCAGAACGATTGAACTGGCGAAAGTTCTTCGGCTGCACGAAACCTCATCGAATGAACAACAAAACCAAATAAATAACCTCCAGCTGCTTTACGACAAGGGACACTTTTTCACTGGTGTAGTTGGATTCTCGTAAAAGTTGCAATTCCTGCTGTAACTGCGCTTCGGCACTGCGCGTCTGCGACAGCTGCTCCGTGAGCTCCTCGATGTTAACTCTAAAATACTGCATTTGGGAGAGAAAAAAAAAAGACAAGCTAATGCAAAACTGCTACCACTTGAAATTCCTCACTTTCATCAGAAAGATATCTAGAAAAAAAAAAGCGAACTTATAATTGGCAATTTCCCCTTCTGCTTCAGCCAATTCCTCCTGCAATTTTCTGCGCTTTTCGGCAGCAATTTTGTGCTCTGCTTCCATTTTTGCACATTTTTCGCGCATTAATCCGAGCTGTTTTGCGTTGTAATCCAACTGAAAAACACACTCACATCAATACATGCAAATTACAAAGAAATGACACGAAACTAATAAATGAATATAAAAGCTTCAACTTCTTTTGCGAGCATCTGCTGTGTCTGATTTTGCAATTCAACGTCCGCTTCCAGTTTTCCATTTGTTTCTCGTAATTCAAAAATTGACGCTGTCAGCTGACCGAAGCGTGTTTGCATGACACTAAAAAAAAGCGTTAAAAAGAGATTAAAAATTTTCAGTTCTTACATAGATAAATTCAGTAAGTGTTGATAGGTAAAGCGTTTATTTTCCGCACTATCAACATTGGAATTTGAGAATGAATTACTAATTAACAATGACTGTTAAAAGATCTCCTTCCCCCACGGATGATAACTGACACGGAGTCAACTACCGGTTTGCTAACTTGTAAGTTCAATAACCAATGCAAAACAACAAATAAGTTTAGCGGCCTTCTTTAAATGAAAAAAGTAAGCAGAAAAAAGAATGCCAAAATTATCGGCCAACGGCCATCAGGTCAGTCAGAAAAAAATAATTGGCCAGCGCACCGAATGCCGGTGCGAACATACGTTTTTTGCACGGTTTCTCGCACTTTTTTGTCGCTAATGCCACTGTTTTTCCCATCAGATGCTTCAAGCTAAAAAAATTGAGATTGGCCACCATGACTAGGAGGAAGGAGCTAACTTCCCGTCTGGGTATTCGAACCAACGGCTCAAATGGAACAGCAGGTAGAAGTGTCGAAATATTAAATTTGCAAGATCAGTAGCAGCACGCTATAACGAACTATATACAAATTTAACCAACTTCGCTTCACGATGCTTTTCTTTACGAAATAGTTCCAAGCTCTTTATCGCCTGATCACATTGAGTACGCAGTGACGAATTCTCCAACTCATATTCCTGTACCCGTTTTGTGAGCAAGTACTGAAAAATACACTCGCGAATTAAGCTAGAAAAATCCATAGAAGTACTTCTCAAAGGAACGGATGATAAACGAAGTGAAAGCGGGAAATATAATCAAAAAATTAACTAATTCTTCACATCCATTTTGGGAATAAGAAGCGAAGAGTATTTGGTTGAATTAAGCATTTATCTCCCAAGGAACAAAGAAAAACGGTTAAACAGGGGGGTACCCAGCACGCTGATCATAATGTAAAACAGAATCGGTCGCAGTAAAATGTAAAATTGTCAGCTGGATCGACAGCGCGAAAATAGCTGATCGAAGCAAGCAAAGCAGTACAAAAATACCTCATCCAGCGTTTTTTCTCCCTTAACGGCTTGCTTGTACATGTCACGTTCCTTCGACAGCTGCGAATTTTGGTCCTTGAGAAGACTCAGTTCTTTCATCACGTCATCTAGCGTTTCGGTGAGGCCCAGTCTAAAGAAATTCCTAGTTTTTACTAATGTAAAATGTCTAAAATTCACGGATCATTTAGTATTATGCGAAATTGCAGGTTTTTCGTATATGGCTAGTTTTTTTTTCTTTTTCTTTTTTTTTTTTTTTAATACGGCTCAACTTTAAACTGATGGCAGTCGCTGCCTACATTATATCAAACGAGGTGCGGAGTAGGCAAGGAAGAAAAATGATGAATAACAGTCTGATTAGTCTAGGCTTTCGAACATAACTACAGAAAAACGAGGATCTGTGAGTTTTACCTTCTAAAGGAACAAACCCTTGGGCAGTTTCTAAAGAAGTGACGTCTGCACAGAGTACCAGTGGCGGGCACTACTTAGAGGTGCCAGGCAGTAGGTGAAACGTCAAGTATGGCTACGTCTAGTGTCTAAGCGCATTTTAACAATACGATTAACATCGAATTTCCACCTCAACCGCTCAGGAAATCTTGCTAATTTCAAAAATACTACTCCCTCGCTTACAAACTAATCTTTTTCTTCACCAATTTGTGTGCTGCTTTGCCTACTGTTTCATTTGGCTTAAAAAAAAATCAAACACAACGTGCGTACTTGTTTCATTATTTTAACTCCACTTTGTTTCAAACAAAACATTAAATGCTGCAGAATTTTTTTAAAAAAAAAAACCAACTCTTCGGTACTCGCGATTTTAGAACCAAGATTTTGTTTTGTATTTATTGTGCGCAATTCGGCCATCAGTTTTTGATTCACACCCTGTAGCTCTTCAATGGAGGACCACAATCGATCGCGATCCTCACTGCTTACTGGAGAACCAGTGTCATGCAAATTTTCAACTTCGATAAAATGCAACAGATGGCGGACCTGCAACTGAATGCTACAACAACGAGAAATCATTCCCTTCCGCTCAGTGAATCAAGAAAATTTTCCCAGATCAAGTAGGTTTGCGACATTCATAAAATGAGCACTACCCCTTCACTACCGTCTTCACTGCGTGGTGTTTTCTGACGACAAGTCAAA